GCGTAACCATATGTACCGACTAAAAATGTCCTGTACTGTCTAGATGTACCGAAATGTTTTCCGTGAAATTTCGCCGACGTACGCTGCATGTCTACAAGGTCAATCTGATGGCGTAGCTAAAAGGAAAAGTAACAAGTGGTGTCTGGAGCTGTTTTGCCATGACCTTAAAAAAGGGGATGCCATGTTAACGTTTGTATGTGTTGCTTAGTTAATTCTTAACCGTTAAACTTAACCGCTTTTAAATCGATGCGGTTTCGCCGTTTTCAGCCGTTCATGCGACTAATGAAACCGTATTGTTTTGAAAACGCTCCAGACTCGATCGGCACCGTGGTTAAAAATGGGAAATGATTGGGTCTTGCGGGATGTTCCAAACACTCCGCACATGACGTAATGGTCTTTAATTATCGGGACTGGTAGCTTGCACCCTGATTTACCGACAGGACGAAAACAAAGAAAAAATACCACGCTGGGACGCACGCGCCGCGCAGTTAACAATTATTCCATTCGCGCTTGTTGGCTATCTACCATCTCATATCCAACGCGCGCTGGTGGAATTATCGTTAAATATACCCAACCTGATATTTCCCAGTTTTTGAATTTTGCGATTGGTGTTCGCACGTTCAGTTTATTCCGAGTACATTGTTCAATTAAATAGAACTGAACATTTTAAATAGAATGGAACTATTTGAAATCTTACAGAGTTGCTTGGACATTAAATGATTTTCAGAAGAATAATAGAGACAATAGCCTCCGTTTGGCGCGAAAATATGCTCCGATATTTGTCCTTAGAAATTGTCTGTTCTTCAAAGCTCGCAGTTTTCCTCTGGCTTCGCTCTCGGAAAACTATTCACGTTTCAGAACAGGTCATGTCGCGGGCAAATATCGGAGCTTATAGTACACTCAACAAAATTACTCAATTCTGATTGGTCGAGAGCAGTACAATTAATCCCAAATAGTACCCCGTAGGAGTACCTATTAAAATAAATTAATATACCTCACTTAACCGGTTTTGAAACTTTCACTTTTACTATCAAGGTAAGTTACTACTTTCCAGTCTGATATATCTTGTATTACATGACAAAATGTAATCTTATCTGCACTGCTCGAGCACGGATTGATCGTGAAATAACTTTGTTGGTAAAACGTGCATTCACCTTTTGAGTAGCCTTGCTTCTAGCTAAAACTTTTTGGAGCTGCGGCTCGCTAACTCCTTCAAACCTCTTCTTTAGTCGGTGCTTAAGTTTTCTTGCTCCAATACCCTTGCAATGTTTAAATTCCTTTCTGACAACATCTCGTAGCTCGGACTTTTTCGTGACCCCCTTCCCGTCAAAAAACAGCTTTTCATCTTGTTTCTCCAAAATCTTACGCAGCATTCTTTTTGCTATGCAGACCTTTGCTTGATTGGCACATCAAATTCGCTTTTTGTAAGTTGGACGAGCGTGTCGTAAACGGCATCATCTACAGCTGACATCTGGCGATTTCGCTTATTTTCGACATTTTCGGTGGAGATGGTGACATAAAATGGCACCAATATCAGCAAACGCACCACCTTTAAAGCGGGACTGTGACGAAAAACGTCAGTTTCTCCGATCACAATGAAATTTTGTGTTTGGGATCTCAAAACGTTAAGGAATGACTGTATCGATTTTTGAGTTTAAATTCCTACGGTAAGTAGTATTTTTCGGACGATCTTTATCGAGGCTGCTGAATCCGATTGGAATGTACTGAATCTGGCCGAGGAGGTATGGGGAGACCGGT